GTGACTCAGTAATGTGCGATTAGATTTGCACAAAAACGTCTGTATCGCTTACATGGACATCGAGGCCAACGCGATATGCGAAGAGAAAAGAACTTGGGTTTTCACCCAGCTGGCAGTAACGCGGTATGGTTTACTCATGCACAGCTCAATGATCTGTGTGAGTCGGCTCATGTTCGAATCCCGACATATTTCGCTCGCACTGATCCGGAACTTCTGAGCGCATTGCGGTCACGAACTGCCACGAACTTCCGCTGTCACTTTGTTCTGTTGCCCGACGAAGTGTATGAACTTGCTGTTGTCCAGCGCACAGGTGGGCGCATACAGAAATATATTCAGTATGTTATATTTTAGCGTCCTGTTGCACTGATTCAAGTCCATGATTTATTTCACCGTCTTCTAGTGCATACACTTATCTACTTCACTCCTCTCACTCGCACTACATGTTTCGGCACAAAAGTGCCATCCTCAGGTGCTTATTTACTTAACGTTAAACTAGTTCATTGCATACCTTGTCGTCTTCATATTAAAATAATTAAAATATATATTGATAAATGTTAAAAATTAAATATTAAAATATAAAATTTTTCAGGATTTTTCCTTCGTCGTATTCACTACTCAAGTCACGTTTATCCTCTTCTGTTGGAGCACTCTTTCTATTTTCATGTGTTTATCTGTAACGTGAATTTGTTATTCATTAATACCGCGTTCCGTATTTTATTTATTACTTGTGGTATTATAATTTTTAATACTCACTGTGCTTTTTGTTGTGTCTTGCTCCTGTGACTACGTGTGTTATACTGCTGGGCCTGCTGGGTATGTGTGTATGTGTGCTAGTTTAACGTTAAGCAAATAAGCACCTGAGGATGGCACTTTTATGCCGAAACATGTAGTGCGAGTGAGAGGAGTGAAGTAGATAAGTGTATGCACTAGAAGACGGTGAAATAAATCATGGATATTCAGTATATTTAATGATGGTGTCAGTAAATCCAATGATTGGAACAGAGTGAATGATGAAAAGTGGAAAGAATCGAAAATTTAAGGTACTTTATCGATATTTACCGGGAGAGTCTGATAAAAACCACAAAAGCTTCAATTAATATAGTCAGTCTCCAACCGGAAATTCGAACAAGGTACCTACCGAACAGACTTCAGAAGAATTGCAGCTTGAGTTAACTTGCTCGGCGAGTCGTTCTTAACAAACTGATAGTCGCTTAACTGGTTAATAAATTCCACTGCTTCTCATGGTCTCATATATTCATTGCTATATTGACAAGTATCCGCCATTGTATTCGTCCTTAGCCAGAAGAGTTCAGAGCACAGTCTCACGCCCTATTTCTTTGAGATCAATTTTAATATTTTGGGTTCGAGACTGTCTCAGCAGTGACTATGAAGGGTACGGTCGTCTGGGTTGTAAGGCTATGTAGTTCGGTAGAAGACCATCACCTTCCAGAGGAACGTACACCCTCCATCTTCAGGGTCAAAGAGCAAGCAAAGGAACGAACCAGCAATAGGCAGACGCTAAGCAGCTAACTTCTGGTTGTTTGCTTGGCTTATTCTTCTACCCTGAAGACAGAGGCGATACCATTCTCCGAAATGTTTTCTCCGAATTCTACCGAATTATATGGCTTTGCAACCAAGAACAGTATGCTATTCTATTTTAATATTATCCTCCCATCTACGGCCAGATTTACAAAATGGTAACTTCCGTGTTAGTTTTGCAATGCATTTTGTATGCATTTCTAATTTACCTTATGCGTGCTACTTGTCCCGCTCATCTAGTTCTCCGGTTGATCACACTAATAATATTTGGTGAAGGGTGCCGGTTACGAAGTTCTTCATTATGAAATTTTCTTCGTCCGTTCTCTTATTCCTTTGTAGTCAAATACGTGTTCTGCTTATATCGCTTTTGTTGCCTTCTTTCTTCGTTTTCTTATTGCCGTCTTCCATCTTCTCTTTGTTTTCCTAGTCCATCTCCCCCTCCTCCCCGATCTTCTATTCTTCCTTTCCTTCTTCCTATTATCCTCCCACTCCATCTCATCTTCATCTTCTATTATATCTTTCATTGTTGTCTCCCTCCTCCCTTCTCTTTGATGTCCTGATCGGCACAAAGCGCTTTCGCTATTTGAAAGGAATATTTCATGTGTCTGTCGTCATCTCCCCGTTTTCTGAGACTAGTTTCGCTTCACGTGAAGCTGAGATAGGAGAGGCTTTGTCTTGCATATTCTGCTCCTTATACCCCAGCATTCCTGGTGTGTGACGCCGCGCTGCACCTACATGAATGTGGGCTCCATCCATGGTGACACAGATGTCTTACGTTACAGTAGCGTCAGTATGTAGCACGATGCAGGGCGCCAGAGCATGTAATGTTGTGATAAGGGACGCCAACTACCAGAAAAGATTGTTCCAGAGCACCCGACGCCGACGCCATGTCAGGAAACTACCAAAGGTGCGCCTATCATGCAGAAATGGAATTATGTCTTCATACTGACATTTTATATTGCACACGGTATTGTTTGTTCTTGGATGGAAGTGTTTGTTTTCAGTTATTCTGCACGCAGTAATAAGAATGCACGAGAGACGTAGAGGAAATACCTACGTGCTATGGTTTTCATTAAAACATCCATATCTGTTCGTGTGGCAGTGCAGTGTGCCCGTCTGAGGGCTTCTCGAAAATCTTTGAGTGCTTAGGCCAAGGACATGCTTCTCCTGTCAATTCACTCTGCCTAGATTCGATCTGCTAGTGTAAGTGACAAACCAAGAGCTCCTATACGTTACAAGTAGAACTTATCGAGATCACAGCGGATACTGGAAATTTTACATTGTTCCGCACACATGTGGTCTAGTGGTCAGAGTTCCTGGCTACAGATCCAGAGGTCCCGGGTTCGATTCCCGGCGCTGCCAAATTTTCTAAGAAGTAGTGGGTCTGGAACGGGGTCCACTCAGCCTTGTGAGGATAATTGAGGAGCTATTTCAAGGAAATAGCGGCTCCGGTCTCGAAAACCGAGCTTAACGGCCGTGGGGATTCGTTGCACTGACCACGTGACACTCTCTATCCGCTAAAATTGGCACTAACTTCGCCGACAAGCGTCGGTCACTCGGTCGGTGTAGTTCTCTTATGGAATAAAACCACGGAGTTTGTTTTTTTTTCCGCACACATTTCTCCACCTCCCTAAACATTTTATATTTACTCGAAGCTTTGATTCAGTGCCTTTTCTATTCAGTAATGTTTCTGTCTCTCTTCGTTTATTTTCGATTTCATGAATAGTTTCTCTATTTGGAAGTATAACATTAAAAAATTTAAGCCGGAATATTCTCATCAGTTTCCTTACACAGTCGCTTTTCACATGAGCCCTTGTTCCAGTATAAATCTCTCACGCTGCATTTCGACACAGGAAGCAGCACTACCAACTGGATGTTAAGTACATGAGAGGGGTCGGGGGATAGCGGTCCGCCGACACATAAGCTCAATACAGGGCAACTCTTCAGCGATTTGTTGGTTCGACATCGAAGAGAAGTTGTGCGTGTTCTTGGTTTGTCGATTACGCTAGCAGTCCGAATCTCACGGAAGCACGCGGTAGCGTACTTGGTTGAAGCACCATGCTACAAGCCGAAAACTCGCAGGTTCGATTCCCGATGATGTCATTGAACTTTTCAATTGACCTAATCCTTCTAAGCACACTGTGACCCTGGGGTAGACTCAGCCTCTAACAGAAATGAGTACCAGAAATCGTCCTTGGAGTAAAAGGCGGGCAGCGTGTAAGGCTGACAACCTCACCGCCCATCTGTGAGCCGATTGTCTAGAAAATGTGAGAGCCTCGACACCTCACAACCCTATGGGCCTCTACGGCCTGTTAGAGGGATAGCTTT